GAGGCCATTGCTTGTAGGTTGGAGGCCATCGATTCTGGGTTAAACGCTATTACTATTAGGTTGGAGGCCACTACTTCTAGGTTTGAGGGTTTTGCTTGTAGGCTGGAGGCCATCGATTCTGGGTTAAACGCCATTACTATTAGGTTGGAGGCCACTACTTCTAGGTTTGAGGGTTTTGCTTGTAGGTTGGAGGCCATCGATTCTAGGTTGAACACCATTGCTATTAGGTTGGAGGCCACTACTTCTAGGTTTGAGGCCATTGCTTGTAGGTTGGAGGCCATCGATTCTAGGTTGAACGCCATTGCTATTAGGTTGGAGGTCATCATGTGGCAACTTCAAATGACTTGTGCAGGTGGGCTCCTTCAGCTGCGAGCTTTATCCGATCTGGTGCTGTCGACCGGCCGGGGGGCCACACAGTCTAACACAATCTAAAGAGTCACAAGAGCCCCTAGTAGCGTTCTTGCTCCTAGTAGTAAGGCCAGGAGCCCCTAGTAGCGTTGTGCTCCTAGTAGCGATGCCAGGAGCCCCTAGTAGCTTCACAAGAGCATGTTCTTTCTATCCTGACCGATCGTGCCAGGAGGTGCAAGAGATGCCAGAAGGTTCGGATGCTGACTCCAAGGCGACTGAGGCACCGATGCTGGAAATTGCCACCAGAAGCAAGGTGCTCTCGGGCTGCGTCTCGCATGTGGATGTTGAAAGGGCAACACGTTCTTGGACGATGTTTAGGGTAGTACGGCGTAGTAACACGGATCTGGAGGTGATTGCGTGCTCGCTAGGAGCCCAGCTCCCCAAACCGAGTCCAAGTACAGCAACAGCTGCGCTGTTGTGGACAGAAGGCACCGAGGCCAGACAGAGCCGAATGTTGGATCAGTGGATCGCTCTCAGCTTGGAGGCCACCGCTCTTAGGCAGGCCATCGCTAGCCGCTAGTAGGAGGCCATCGCGAGTGTTTCTATTGCAGGAGGACCTCTCATTCAACGGGCCACGACTGGATTGGAATGATCCTTTCATTTGGCACTTGGGAAATCGGATCTAAAACGGAACAAATTTGTAAAAAACCCTACATTCTTCCTGGGAATATTTCTGCTCGCCATACTCACACCAAAAATACAACCACTCAGTCAATTAGCCTAAATAGATTTGCTCTTGTCTCTCCAGGTTCCTGCAGCGTATTGTCACGCGCCTGGCTGATTTTCAGGCGAGTAAATATACGCCCATCCTACTGCATTTCTCAAACAATCCACTCTTGGAACAATTTACTTGCTAAAGCAACGATTGACATCATTCTCCTGTGAGCTTTTACGGGCGGAATTGATTTGAGCTCAGGTCGATGAAATGTTGGGTTGAGGCCCTTTGAGCACGCTTTCAAAGAAACACATACAGGGCCCTCTTTTCGTTTTCCATTGCTCTTTAGTAAGGCACTTGTTACTACTAGCGATGCACCTGTTACTAGTAGCTCTAGTAGTAATCGGTGAGTCCACCTGTTTTTTGGAGCCCGGCTTCATTCTTCAGTGATAGGTCCCATTTCTCGAAGAGCACCGCTGCGAAGTGCTGTGCGCCAGCGCATTGCTGGTGGTGGCAGGTGGAATCGCTTTTCCGTTTGGGAAAGGGGATGGCAGCAGTGGGCTGGTGGAGAGTGCTTCAGAAAACCACCTGGTTGCAAAAGCTATTCCTGTAGATCAGATACCGAATGATCCCAGAATATATCAGATGAATCATATTCCCTCTTTTCTAGTTGTCCTTCACCAAGATTGCTTAGAGAATCTCCACGGTGTGAGTTTAGGACAGATGCGTTCGGGTCCAGATCCGTTGTGGTCACCTCCCGGTGGCGGGCTCATTCTCGCCAGGCGTGGTGTTGAGCATGGCCTCGTTAGTGGGCGGCCTATCGAGGGGAGCTTTGCTGGAACATCTCAGCTGGACAACTCGCCGCAGCGGGGGCGACTGAACAACTCAGTTTGGCCCGTTCGTTCTCTCATTCGCGCACTGACGCCACGTTTGCCTCCAATTATTGAAACGTCCAGTTTGTTCACACATGATTGCCTCCTAGGAAACTCCTCATTTTTAATCAACTGCATTTCGCTTGTCTTTTGTGACGAGCAACTGCGCAGAATACGGTCAGCAAGCTCCGGGTTCATACCCTGTGTTCCCTAGGACCCTAGGAGGAAGTGAGAACTAATAGGTGCTTCTGTGTTGAAAATCCTGAAAGCGTTGCAGGATCACCTTGGAGAACCAGGAAGAGCAGCGCTTCCTGGGAATGCGCTTCGTGTGCATCGCTGAGGGACGTTTGTCGAGTCCAGCCTTCAGTCCGGACTGGGCAGGCGAAGGGAGGGGCCACGGGAGTGCCAGCTTGCCGCTTTTCAGCTCTCCAGCAGAGGCGTCTTGGTGCCTTTGCTTTTCTGCAACTTACCAGTAGGTTGGAGGCCATCGCTAGTAGGTTGGAGGTCATGGCTAGTAGGTTGGAAGCCATGGCCAGTAGGTTGGAAGCCATCGCTAGTAGGTTGGAGGCCATCGCTAGTAGGTTGGAGGCCATTGCTAGTAGGTTGAAGCCATCGCTAGTAGGTTGGAGGCCATCGCTAGTAGGTTGGAGGTCATCGCTAGTAGGTTGGAGGCCATGGCTAGTAGGTTGGAAGCCATCGCTAGTAGGTTGGAGGCCATCGCTATTAGATTGGAGGCCATCGCTAGTAGGTTGGAGGCCATCGCTAGTAGGTTGGAGGCCATCGCTATTAGGTTGGAGGCCAGCGCTAGTAGGTTGGAGGTCATTTGCTCTTAGGTTGGAGGCCATTTGCTACTAGGTTGGAGGCCAGCGCTATTAGGTTGGAGGCCATTGCTATTAGGTTGGAGGCCATCGCTCGTAGGTTGGAGGCCATTGTTATTGGGTTGGAGGCCAGCGCTAGTAGGTTGGAGGCCATTTGCTATTAGGTTGGAGTCCATCGTTATTAGGTTGGAAGCCATCGCTAGTAGGTTGGAGGCCATCGCTATTAGATTGGAGGCGATCCCTAGTAGGTTGGAGGCCATCGCTAGGAGTTGCAAAGATTTGGACCCAGACAGATTTTCCTAGCAAAAAGTGCCCGGACTGAGTTGCGCGCGGACTCGTCAGGCAATCCAGACCGGTGTCTTCCTTTGATGCTCAGCTTTTAAACCAATGAGTGGGCTGGACTAATGGGGCTATGTAAGGGAGATGGCCCAGAGGGCTTCAATTCTGATTGTTGGTTTGAAGTGTTGCTGGGTCCAGACCTGTTGGAGATGGTTCTGAGTCTTAAATCCAAGCTCTTTTCGTTTCAAACCAGGATGGCCAGTTCCTTACGCAAGCGCTTGGCATGCGACGAAGCTGGAGCTTTCCATGTCAAGTTGTGATGGTAAAATAGTAAAATGCATCATGCCATATAATATACCTCTCATTTCTATGTTCTTTTCCTTTCATTTTTTCATTATTCCCGAAAGCATTGCGAAGGGTTCTTCCGGAAAATCCTTTGAACACTTACACTTCGACACTCACACTCACACACACACACAGGAAGAGCGAAAGCATCCAAGTGCGAAGTATGCCAGTGTCAAAGTATGCAAGTGTAAGTATGCAAGCATGATATGCAAGGGTGAGTATGCAAGCACGCAATGACTATGCAAGCATGCAATGAGTAGGCAAGTGTGAGTATGGAAAACTAGCACGGGAGATGTCCTAATGAAAAAACATTTCCCCACTTTATAAATTCTCTCTTAAAGGCGGAGTGCGGGACGAACAGCGTCAACCGAAAGTGCAACCCTCTGCGGAGATCGTGCGTGTCGAGTGCGCGAAATGCAGGTGAGAGTGCGATTTGTCCGGTGCGCTCGCAACCCTCTGCGGAGATCGGGCGTGTCGAGTGCGCGAAATGCAGGTGAGAGTGCGATTTGTCCGGTGTGCGCGCAACCCTCTGCGGAGATCGTGCGTGTCGAGTGCGCGAAATGCAGGCGAG